GGACCAGAGCCCACTTCAACAGTTGTAGGAAATGTAACCCTAAATTGGAAGGCGTATATACATACACGATGCGATGTTTGTTGTCCTGAACCCTCGGCCTACCTGGCAGAAAGTCCCACTGGCCTATACAGTAGGACAAGTCCAAAGCTCAGCAGTCAGGAAACACAATCTAGGGTCAATCCACGCAAGCCAAGTCCAGAGTACAAAGTCCAATGGTCAGAAAATGCGGTCCAGGGTCAATCCAAGTCCAAAATCCAAGTCCAGAAAACACAGACCAGAGTCAAATTCAAATCACAATCCCGTAGACTTCCTGAAGCATCCAAGCTAAGATCTATCTGCATGGGCAGTTGAGCAGACACAGCACCACAGCTCTGCTCCCATTTCTTCCTCTTGAGTCTTGATTGTAGCACCTGGGCTTGATGAGGCAGGCGGCCCTCACCTGTCCTGAGCCTAATACAGCTGAGGAATCACACACCTCTTCCCAGAGCTAATGAGTCCCACCTGGCCAGGTAGTAAACTGGGCTGTGGGGCCTTGCTTGCCTCAGCCTCTCTGACCCTACCTCCTCTTGCTCCCTATGCCTCAGAACCTGCCTTGATCAAGGAAACAGGAGCCCCTCTGACTCTGGTGATGGATCCTACTCTTCTGGTCCATGTAAACTGACCCCCATCCCCTCGCCATTCTCTGTCATCCCGTGTGTACTTTCCACAACCCCAACCTCTCTTTTCCCATCATCAGTTTGCCCCGGTGGGTCCTAGTTGTGACTGCACCCCTCGCCAGGATCTTCTTCCTCCTCCCTGTTGTCCTGTCAGTTCATGACATGTGTGTGTGGTGGTAAGAGGAGTGAGGTCAAAGGAACAGAAAAGGCAATATGCAATTCAGGAAAAAAAATCCTCAGGTTGCAAACACATGCGAATGACAACAAGCACTCAGTTTTAGATAATTAGCTAACATTGAATCTCTCTCATGCCAACTTTTTTAAAAAAAATTCACACACATCAAGAATATACACACTTCCAGGAAGCTTATATTCATTCTTAGATGCTAATTTAATAGGAATTCCATTTCAACTGGTGGTGCACGCAGTACTGAAATATTAACCACAGTCTGCAATGTATCCTTTTTCCAGTTCCAATTAGATATGGACTAAAGGGATTTTACGTTTTTTTCCCAGGCAATTCCACAGACATGGAGCTAAATGAAGTGGTTTTGTAGGACAAACTGTATTAAATTGGTACAGCCAAGGTCTACTCTATTCTATCTAATCTCCCAATCTCTTCTCCATTTAATATGCAACATGGTATCATTGCATGGCCATTAAAAAAAGTATTTCAGACATATGAATGCTGACTATTAATTCTATGGCAAGGAAATAAAGGTGGAGATGGGTTTCTGGGTCTAGGCCAGGTGGAAAACACATATACACTGCAGTTTCCTTCCCCCTTCATCTCAAATGACAACCTCACGTAAACATCAAGTACCCCTTTGTCAGATCTGCCAGTCATCTTCATGGATTTTGAACTCGGCTATACTGGTAAAGAAAAAGCGATTTATATGTGTTGTATGGAAGGGATGCGGGTGGCGCTGTAGGTAAACCACAGAGCCTAGGACTTGCCGATCAGAAGGTCAGCGGTTCCAATCCCCGCGACGGGGTAAGCTCTCGTTGCTTGGTCCCTGCTCCTGCCAACTTAGCAGTTCGAAAGCACGTCAAAGTGCAAGTAGATAAATAGGTACTGCTCCGGAGGGAAGGTAAACGGCGTTTCCATATGCTGCTCTGGTTTCGCCAGAAGCGGTTTAGTCATGCTGGCCCCTTGACCTGGAAGCTGTGCGCTGGCTCCCTCAGCCAATAAAGTGAGATGAGCGCCGCAACCCCAGAGTCAGTCATGACTGGACCTAATGGTCAGGGGTCCCTTTACCTTTACCTTTATGTGTTGTATATGTGATATAACAGTGTGCCACCAGATGGTGATGTAGAGCCTCATTTTTCTCTGCCTGTTTTCCCTGTTTAAATTTACAATGCTTTAAATTGAAACACTTCTCCGATGTGTCTAGATCCAGCCTTGGTGTGTATGATGTGTGTGCTGTGAGAGGAATAGCGTATCTGAGACTAGGGAAAGGTGAAACAATCGGTCTTGGTTTCTCATTTTTCCAGTCCCAGTTTCAACGCAACACATTTCATTTCTGCTTGCCTTTTTTAAAAAATGTCCTCATGAAAATTAATCAGCATTTTAGTGTCATTTCTCTAAATATACACATTCAGTTTTGAATGTGTAAATATACACATTCCCTCTAAATATACACATGCAGTTTTGTCAAATATGCATTTTTTTCAAGCAAATTTGCCCAGTACAACACATTTTTGCATGCCAGTTTCACACACACACCTTTCCTGATGCATGAATTTTGTACACATTTTGCGGTTGGTGAATTGCACAGCAATATTTGCAGAAGTTGTTTCAGTTTGCTTATTGGTTCAGGAGTTGAAAATGAAGCTGGGTTTCCATTAAAACATGAACAAGACTGAATTCAAGACTCATGAAATATATAAAGTGTAGCAAACCATTTCCTTTCCGGGTACTACTTGGCTTTTGCTTTCAGTGTACCGTTAACCGAAGAGGCAATGCTATATATTTCCCCCCACTGTAGCCATTTCCATGGGTGAAAATAAGCCAGGGACACCACAACCTCAAACTCCTCCTGACCCAAGTTTTTGTGTCCCTGAGAATTAATGAGAACCGATTCAGGCCCCTGAGTTCTGTTATTGTGACTCTATAGTGTGGAGGAATGCAAATACCCTTCATTATAACAGTAAGTGTAGGTGTGGAGTTGGGGGGGGAGACAACGCCCAGGGAAGACTTTTCTCCACAACACAAATAGCAGGTTTCTGTTTCTGTGTGTACAACACAGGGTAACAGAAGGACCTTGTTTAATCTACGTCCCATATTTCAGAACCATCACATGGAAATGCATTAGCTAATTTTTACTTGTTGTACAGAAACACGCCTTCTAAGTCCCGTTAATGCGATTTTCTGCAGCTTACCAATAAGAAAGTCTTGGGGAAGGAGAGGAAAAGCAAATGTGTAATAGAACCGTCCGTGAGTGGCAGGGCTGAGTCTGCGTGACACGAGGCAAAGAGGTGTCAGCAGAAGCCATGGAGACAACGATGGGGAGACTGGAGAAAACCAGAGCTGGATTTGGGGCACATGATGGTTCGCAAGTACAGTCGGAAGGTCAGTGGCTTTGCAAATGTGCTGTAAAGCAGGAGACACAGTAACAGCGGCGGCTATTACAGCACCTTAATTAAAGGAAGTGGCTGCTTCAGTGATCCAGAATTAATTTTGGCTAGACAACAATTATAACACAGCCTTCTGGGTGACTCCATCCTTGGTTAGACACATATGCAGCTCTGACCTGTAGACACAGACTTTGACCTGACTGAGCATTGAAAGAAAGCGAAAAAGCAACCCTATGTTTTGAAGGTGAAGGGAAGAGAAGGAAAGTGCATTTTGATTTCAAAGGGCACCACCTTATCTCCTCCTCCTACAACTCAACCCTCTCTAGAAACATGATTGCTTTTAGGCTACCAGAGAAGGACAGACAAGAGACAACCAAAAACGAGAGCAGAACTGTGTTGTGGATGAGTTTGGTAGCGCCTGTTAGAAGGGAACAATTTGACATAGGAATGGAGCAGAAATTCAGTTTCATTAACATCTGAATGTGACTCTCCTTAATTTGTGCTCCTCAAAACTATACGAAGCAGTATGAGAACCAACAATGGATATATTGTACAAAATTGCATGCAAACATGAGTATATTGGGAGGAATGAATGTTAAAATGGATTCTTAAGATGGTTTTTAATGAGAGTGTTTTTAAAAGAAAATTGCACGTTTCTCAGAGTTCAATGGCACAGCAAGTCCAAGGAATGACCCTATGACTGCGAACTACTGACAACAGTGTGTTCACTTTTCAATCACAGCCTTTCATAGAAAAACTACAATACCAGAGCCATTTGTTTGTGAAGGTTCAATTCACATTCCACTTGCATGGAATAAAGAGAGAGAAGTCAATTACAGATCATTCAAATTATGCCACAAATTTGAAATTAAATCTCTGAAATTTGAAAATCACAAAAGACAAAATGGGAGGGGGGAACCTCATACTTTTCAGACATTCAATATAGATGTCAAAATCTACTGTTTTTAATTTCCAGCTTGCAGCTGAGCTGGTCACTCAGATGACATGTGGGTAACAATTTTAAAAGTATGCACAATCAAAATATCTCTCATTCAAAACAATCTAAGTGGCTTCCAGACAAGTGGAGGATGTGATATATATATATATATATATATATATATAGAGAGAGAGAGAGAGAGAGAGAGAGAGAGTGAGTGAGTTTGGAGTGAAAATATAGCTTAGTCCAACAACCCCCTACTTGCTTAATTTGGCCACCAGAGGCCAGTCCATTCAAAAATATATATGGATAACTTTCCTTCTATATATTCTATACCGAATGGTATAGTAGAACTACTATTTAGAAATACGGAATAATGAACTCCTCAGTGTTCTTGGCACCTGAACCTATCATATAAATTGCATCCCTGGGGCTGCTTTTGGGGATTCTAGTGCGACACAAAGAAACATACCATTTCTGGAATATTTGTACATGCAAGTCCCACCATGCACTCCTAGGACATTGTTCGTTAGACAAGCGTTCGCATAATGAGCTGATGATTTCCATTATTTCCTATGGGAACCTTTCTCATCCATGCTTTTGCCTACTATGCTTTCTGCCTGAAACTGCTGCAGCCAATCAGCAAAAGCCAAACAAAGGAAACACTGTCCAATCTCTCCTGTTCTCTGATTTGTTTGATATCACTCCCTCTCCCCATGGTTTCTGTTGGAGACGGCGGCCACCGACCAGCAACACACAAATGACACACGGCGTCGCAAAATTATTTCAAACATGGTGGTTAGGGTGGATTGGGAACCAGCTTTCATTACCTTGTCCAGAGAAAAGGTTTTGGTCAGTGCAAATCCCCATCCGGCTTCAAAAGCTCTGCGAATCATTGGCGAACTTGTGGTGGGAGTCGCACTGGCGAGGCCAAAGGGGTTTGGGAACCGGAGTCCAGCAACTTCTATGCTGATGTCTACTGAATCCACAGGCGTGTAGAAAAGAGGAAGCTGGGGTACAGTAGGAACAGCAATACCATATAAAGACTGTGGAAAGAAAACAATGACAGCACAAAAGTTGGCTTATTCATCATCATCGTCATCATCACCACCACCACCACCACCATCACCATCATCACCATCATTTATTATTTATATCATGCCCATCTGGCTGGGTTTCCCCAACCACTCTGGGTGGCTCCCAACAGAACATTAAAAACAAAATAAAAGCTCCCCTAAACTTCCCTAAACAGGGCTGCCTTAGGATGTCTTCTAAAAGTCAGATAGTTGTTTATTTCCTTGACATCTGATGGGAGGGCGTTCCACAGGGCGGGCGCCACTACCAAGAAGGCCCTCTGCCTGGTTCCCTGTAACCTCATATTTCGCAGTGAGGGAACTGCCAGGAGGCCCTCGGAGCTGGACCTCAGTGTCCAGGAAGAACGATGGGGGTGGAGATGCTCCTTCAGGTATACCGGGGCGAGGCCGTTTAGGGCTTTAAAGGTCAGCACCAACACTTTGAATTGTGCTCGGAAACGTACTGGGAGCCAATGTTATTTCACCTCCATTTCACCACCCCATCTTCCGAGAAACTAAAGTTAATGCAATGTGGGGGTGCTCTTACATTAGTTTCAGAGTAATCCTATGAGAGAGAGTTGTCTAGCTGAGAGTAGTGAAAGATAAAACTGTCAATTTTCACTCATATACATATTTTTGCAACACAGTTTTGCTTAATATATACATACAAACAATGTTCTTATAACACACTTCCGTATGTTATTTTTTTACATATATATACGCTTTTATGAACAATTTATCCCAGCATATGCATTTTTGTACATGTTACTTGGCCAGAGAACTGCACTGCTACATTCAGAGACACGCAAAATCCAAATGATGGCTGGGCTTTACTTTGTGTATTGTTTTAGAAAGTGTGGGTTCACCTTTAAATGTGAACTGAATGGAAATTCTAGCTGAGACACAGTGCCTGCCACTTGACAACTTTCCTTAATCAGAATGAAGGGAATCACTCACATATTTATGTGTTCATAATGTCAATAAATACACTGCAGACAACCCAGTCAAGTTATGAAAACAATGAAATGTAAGATCCCAACAAGTTCAGTCACCTACCCTCCAATATATCTCCAATGAAAATAGGGATGTCAATAATAATAATAATAATTTATACCCCACACATCTGAATTGGTTGCCCCCAGCCACTCTATGCAGCTTCCAACATATATAAAAAACATAATTAAAACATTAAACATTCAAAACTTATACAGGGCTGCCCTCAGATGTCTTCTAAAGGCTGTGTAGTTACTTCTCTCCTTAGTTTGGGGGTTATCTAACTTCATACCTTCCACCATTTCTCTGGTGAAAATAGGGACGTCTTACCATACCCTCTGATATTTCTCTGATAAAAATAGGGGTGTCCTAAGGAAAAGTGGGACATTTGGGGATCAAATCAGAAACTGGGATGGCTTCTGTAAATCCGGGCCTCTCGCTGGAAAATTTGGACACTTGGAGGGTCTGTAGTCATTAACTACGATGAGAGTCCAAGCCTGAACTTGTCTGCCACTTTAAGAGGTTGGAGACACTGATTCCGTAGAACAATGGGCCTTAAGCTCACTGCTGTCCTCCTCATCTTTTCCTGATTGATGAAGAAGCTGATTTGTTACAAGCTGTGACAAACCTCTTATATGCTCCTCACACACGAAGTGGGTGTGGGAGGGGGTGAGGAGGTATGTGAGCATGCACTGTGCAAGCGACTACAAACCATAGCTTGGCATTAAGTCTGAGCATCTCCTCAGAGTATTGTGAAAGAACGATGTCAACATTTGATGATCTCCTTCTACCAGTCCACAATAGAAAGTGTCCTTTCATACTGCATCATGGTGTGGTACGCTGGTTTGACATAAACTGATAGGAAGTGCCTACAGAGGGTGGTGAATACAGCACAAGATATTATGGGATGTCCCGTGAATCCACTGGACGACATTGCAGAAGAACGTTGCCTCAGGAGAGTGAGGAAAATTCTCAGGGATGGTTCACACCCTGGCCGACACTTTCTTGATCTCCTGCCCTTGGGCAGAAGATATAGAAGCATGATTAGTTGCACCAACAGGGTAAAGAACAGCTTCTATCCATGGGCTGTTAGGTTGCTGAATGAAAAGATAACAACAGGGCAACTGACTTTCGGGTTTGGTGGGTGTGCGTCAGTAAACGAGGGGAATTAAGACTAAGAGAGCTGAGTAGGGGGTGCTCGTGTAATCTCACTGTATACAAGTTGTACAAGTGACAATAACGTATTTCAATTTTTCAACAGATCTCCGAGATAGCTTGCAAGCCGTGCTTTCCCCCAGACCACTTTCTTGCCTTCCACATCAAGCAGGTAGAAAAAGCAGGCAAACAATATTTATCTAACAAAATCTGTCTGCTTCTTAACTGTAAATAAAACCTCGGACCCTCCAAGTGCTTTTGTTTTCCATGGACACTCCCAGATTTACAGAAGCTGCCCTAGTTTCTGATTTGATCCCAGAATGTCCCGCTTTTCCTTAGGATGTCCCCACTTAGGCCAATTTTCTGCATAACATATGGAACATTAAAAAGCCAGAGCCTTCTCCTGCGGTCTGAAGCGGTACAGTCCATTCTACTACTTCACAATTCTATCCTTGAGACACTGCTAACATGCCTGAGAGAGCTAGTTTAAGACAGCTAGTCCCTGTTTGCTCCCCTATCTACATCTTGCTCATTGTTCTCCCAAGGACACTACATGGTGTGATGAGTTAATGCACTCGCCTCCTACATCTCTCTAAAAATGAAACACTCCATCGGCATCCTTTTTTAAATTCGTCAGTACCTTCCAGCTTTTGTAAGAAAATTCCTCTACATCTCCGCACCTTACTGACCTGCTCTCCATTTCAATCTTACCCCTCCCCCCAAAAAAATAAGATTTCTATTCTTCCTCCCTTGTATTTCCACTGCCTTCCCCTCGTCTATTATTTATTATTTAATTCTGTAATTGCATTATTTACAGTCAGTCAGGGATGCATTTTGTATGAAAGTCACTATTCAAATTAAAATTGTATCGCACTGCAGTACATTATGCCCTGGCTCTGGATTCTTCAAGAGACTCAACAGCGTTTTCTAAAGAGATGCACTTATTCACCTTACAGAAACACAATAAGGAAACTTAAGGATGTGAATTAATACCAATTTCTCTTCCCCCATCCCACCTCCCAAATAACTTGTACTCAAATTATCTCTGAAATGTTTGAATGTTGCATTGAGGCAAAGCTACATAAAAGATAAACTCCTGGCAAACCAAAAGTAAAAGCTCAAATATTATTCTTTTACTGAGAAAGAAAGAAGATTTTTTTAATGCAGCATTACACCAAGGAAGTGCTCTTAAAGCTATACTGAAGTGAATGGAAGCTTCTGTGAACCATCAATGAATCCGGCCCCTCTGTTATTAAGTGCCCAAGTGCCTTTCATCTTAACAGGGATAAAATACAGGCAGAAGGAACTCAGAAGAGGAGGGAAATGGAACTAGGACTTAATTTATTCACTTCCTGTTTGTGAACTCCACAAGAGATATAATGCTAAGGGAAGGAAAAGAAGGGATATTGCAAATGCAGTTCCTTATTATCACAGCTGGGACACGGGTGGCACTGTGGTCTAAACAACTGAGCCTAGGACTTGCTGATCAGAAGGTCGGCGGTTCGAATCCCCGCGCTGGGGTGAGCTCCCATTGCTCGGTCCCTGCTCCTGCCAACCTAGCAGCTCGAAAGCATGTCAAAGTGCAAGTAGATAAATAGGTACCGCTCTGGCAGGAAGGTAAACGGCATTTCCATGCACTGCTCTGGTTCGCCAGAAGCGGCTTAGTCATGCTGGCCACGTGACCCGTAAGCTGTACACCGGCTCCCTCAGCCAATAAAGCAAGATGAGTGCTATAACCCCAGAGTCGGCCACGACTGGACCTAACGGTCAGGGGTCCCTTTACCTTTATATTATCACAGCTCACCTAAATGGGGATGATGCCTACAGTGTGAACAGAAATAAGTGGGATCAAGAAGAAATTAGTTCATAGACACCAGGGCCTAAGTGAGGGCACCAGAAGCTGCATAATACACAAGGAGGGAAGAGGAAAAGAGGGGAAGCGACGAAGTGTCAAGTCACAGCCAGGGAGGAGGAGAAAAGGGAAGAGATAGAAACATAAGTGCTGTTTCTACATATAGAATCAAAGGTATCCTCAGGCTTCTGTTAAGAGCAAGCAATGCTGGTTATTAGGGAGGTGTATTATCTCTGTCTGTACCCTGAATAATCAGGTGAATCAGGGTATGCTGGGTCATAATCTCACCCCCAAGTTGGATCCTGCTGATAACAAAATGTCTCAAGCTCCAGAGTCGCTCTGTTGCCTCCAGTTTTCAAAAACGTTCCACACACAACTTTTGCCTTTCTTTTCTAAGGTGGAATCTACACACATATAAAAAAAAAACCCGCTGTGAAAATACTTTTTTAAAAAACACGTTTTGAAAAATAAACTGAATTTGGCATAGCTCACTCTCGCCAACTAGTGCCACATTTGTATACTGCACTATACAACACATTTAAAACGTTTTCTATGCAGCTGTATAGCTGAGTCCTAAGTAACAAAACCATTCCTAGTGGGGAAATGGCCAGAACTTGAGAGTAGAGGGGGTGAAAAGGGGGAAGAAATCTTTCCATTTGACAGACAGGTCTAGCTCTTCTTGATGACAGTGAATTTCTCCCCACAGCGCCACCCGAGGAACAGCTTTAAATCAGTGCCAAAATGTGTATGTATTTATGGCTGGTCCCTTCTAAAGCGTTGGTCTTAGCTTTTACTGAGATGCTATACTGCACAGATGGAGATCTTACGGCCTTGCAGTTGGGAGATGAACTCCAACTCCCATCAGCCCCAGCTAGCAACATCTGGAGCGCAATTTCTTACACACATATTGTTGGTAGCAGTTTTCAGTAATAACCTATAGCTTCTATACTGCGCTATAGAGAAATTACCCAAA